TATCTAAATGAAACAACTTGCCTGGATTTTTCAACACGTATATCTGTTTTCTTTTAAGATAAGCTTTTGAAATGTAAAACAGAGGTTATTCTCTAATAAAACTACTAAACAGAAAACTGTAAAAAAAATTGCCCTTCATAATAAACTATTTAAAAATAGGAGAATTTTTAAGTTTTCATTTTTGTTACTAATTGACTGGAATGACACACTTATAATAAAAATTGTAAAACACTTCCCGTATAGGTAGAAACATAAAATTTAGCAAAATGGTAGGTCTTATAATGTAAATAATTGGAAAAAACTGAATTGTTATTTTTTTTTCAAAATAATACATGAAAAATAGTAACATACTAATTACAGGCAAAATTGTCATAGTGAGGCAGAGTAAGCAGTCGCTCGTTTTAATTTCTTAACGAAATAATGCATTTTTTTTTTACTTAAGCCAGCAAAAAGGAATAATATTCTTAATAAAAACCTAACTTCTAAAGAAGTCTGCCTATCAAAGTAGTTATATCTTCATTTGTGGCCAAATTCATAAACTCAATCCTACTTTCATGAACTATATTACTCCTTTATTTGTATTGCTTAACACTTTATCAGTTTCTAAAAAAGTACCGAGTCAGTCACATGATTACACGGGAGAAAGGAGAAAACAAAACAAAAATTTAGATCCCACGTGTGATTTATTAAAATTAGCGAAAAAATCTGTTTTATGTCTTATTTTAAACTTGACCGAAATTAAATTACTACGGTTAAAAGAAAAATATTGCTTATAAAATTGGGATTAAAGCTTATAAACTAAAGAAAGAGCAACCTTGGCCACAAATGAAGATATCACTACTTTAATTGGAGATTTTTTTGGGGAGGTATGGTAACTAAGTCCTTTTACACCCAGAGAAAAACCTCAATCTATATAATAAATTCATTGTTCAATTTGATAAATATATCATTACTATTGAACCTATGATATATTTATCAATATGATATTTTTTTTTCTTGTCTTGAACAATAATTATTTATAAGAATAGTTATTTTGTTCGTATTAATAAAACATTATCATAAACCCTTGATAAAATTTCTCTATCAAAATTGATTGAGGATTTTCATTGGGTGTATACAGTTAGGTTATTGTTGAGGTAAATAATTAAAATAAATTGATTCGAAAAAATTTCCTTTATTGAATATTTATTTAAAAAAAATTATAACAGATTGACAATAATATATTACACATCTTTAACATTTTCGACAAATTTAACTATAATAATTTAGTTTAATATTTAATTACTAATAATAAAATGTATCGTAAAATTTAGTATAAAGTAAAATTAAGTGTCCGTAGTAAAAGTATAACAACGTTATTTTTATACTTTTATATCACGTGAATTTTTTTATCATATTTATCTATTCGTTCTATGTTTTATTTAATTAATTTTTATATTTTAGTAATTTTAAATGTAACCTGATGGCCTAGTGCCAAAACTAGTAGTTATCATTTTAAATTATAATACTCTAGGCACTTGTAATTTTTTTAAATTTTACAATACATATATTATAAAATGTAACTAGCCAATGTATTAATCATAGTCATTTATTTGGACCTACATTATTTGTATATATTAACGGTTAATAAATTACTTACTTTATAAAATAGTGGTTTTTTATACATAAAACAATAACCTGTTAAAGTAAAAAAGAGGCACTACACATTTGTTGGCCAATTATACTTTGTATGAGTCGAATTTAAAAAAGAAGTGGTGTTGAGCCTTAGTTAGATAAAATAATTTCAAATATTTTTTTCTACTTTGTTTTGATACAGTTATATATTTTATTTAAATAAAAAAAAAAGATTGTAATCTAATATACGGAGGTCCTATTCATTATGAAAGTCTGGAACTTCGGGATAATCACTATTATTATTCAAATGTACGACTGCGAAGGTATTTAGCTTACTTTATCAAAAGTTATACTCACTGCTTGAATGATGTAAATTTTTCGTAGAAATCTTAAAAATTTACTAGCAAGCAATTTTCATTAATTTCAAGATTTAGTTATGTATTAATAATGACGTTTATAAAAGATAATGAGGGTCTAATTCCCTTTTCTGGGAAATTGATTTTCTTGATACATCTTTTTATAAATTGGTATTTTAATTCAAAACTTTTAAAAATAAACCATATGACTTTTTTTGTTAACCTTCTCCGGTCGCGCGATTTCAGTGTATTAATTTCGTTACGCGGCGCAATTATTTTCATTGATTGAAATCTACTTGTTAAACTCACAAATTTATTAAATTTGATCATTTTTTTTATAAAAGTATATTAAAAGAAAACTAGAACATTTATTATTTTATTTTAAATTATTCTCTTTAATTTTTTTGTCGAATTTATATTTGCTAACATACAACGTAATATACAAAAATATAATAATATAATGTATTATAATATAATTATATAAAAAATGCATTACATGAGTGTTATTATTGTTAAAATCGGTAAAGTTTTTAACAACAAAGCACTTAAGATAGTGGCGTTCTTAGGGTTTTGTCTTGGGAGGAGAAATACATCAGGAATATTTTTACACCCGTTCCAAAATACATCTTTACCATATATTTATTTTCATTGCGGAGGTTTTGTTCTCCAATTATTCCTTCCTATGTGAGAACACCTACTACTTAAGGTTAATTTATCTATAACGGGCTCAAGGTATTTGATAAAATTTTCCATCAAAACTAGGTAGAAACAAAAAAAACACTAGACTATCGCGCGGAATAATTATTTTTTCTTAAATAGAACCCCCACGAAATTAAAACACTAATATAGAATACACTAACAAATAAAACGTTAAGTTAATTAAACTTTATCTAACACTAATATAAAATAAAAGAATACGAAAAATCTCTCCCAAATTGAAAAAAAAATTTTACATACCTAATTTTATAATTAATATTTTAAAGTAAGAAGGAAGCAATTTAGCACTCTCGATAATTGTATTTTTATTGGACCTATGACTTTCTTCTAAATATAAAACACTTTATAATGTAAGCATATTTTTAAGAGAATTTTTTCAAATCCAAACATTTTTTTTTCGATTATAATTATTAAAAAAAAAATTAAGAGCAACTTAATTCGATGATATTAGATTTTTTTCTTTATCGTATTAAAACTAGCACACCACGTGTGTTGTCTCAGTTGGTAATACGCTTGATAACTTCATATTTTATTGTGTACAAAATAATATTGTTATCATTGATCAATATTTACAACACGCTAATAATAAACATTATTATAACATTAAGTAGTTATTATAACTTATTATTTTTTCACAAATTAACGTGGCTGTTTATCGAATGGCACATCAACCGACGAAAACCAATACATGTAGACGTACTTTTAGTGTTAGGTACACAATTAAATGACGTTTTTATAGATTAATCATGAACGAGACACGTTTTGCTGAATTTTAGAACTGAGATTTCTGCTAATGTAAAAGTGAAGAACTTCTTAATCGGTTTATGTTTTGAAAATTTCAATGAAATTTCCGTGTTATGCTATATGTAAGATTATTATGTATATTTATGTGTAGTTGTACAGTTAACGATACTCGTCAATCGAATTTCACTAAAATTTTGCTATTCAAAACACTAAATGTTACGCTGTTAACGTTACATCACACGTACAAAGGCATCTAAGTTAAATAGTAGCAAAATTTCTGTATTTAATACTTTTACAGGTGTAATATTAGTTTATCTTATTAAAATTTACCTTATCTCTTATGTCCAAGAATAATCAGAAAATCAGTTCAATGTAAAGATATTATTCTGTGAACATTTTTTATCACAGTGTGAAAATAGCAGTGATTGTTACTTTTATCAATAATCTAAATTCTCGGGTGAATTACTGATCATAAATTATAGTGAAAAGTCACTATGAACTTAAAAATATCACGTTGCACAATTTGCCCATAGAATAATAATTTTTTTTACGACCAGCTTTATTTAGAAAAAAAATATGATAGCTTTTAGAATCATAACCAAGGTGGATAATCCACAGTGAGTTTCACAATAATCGATAATATTTATCAAAAACATTAAGTTCGCGTTCACTACTATTTTATAAACGATTAAAAGAAACTGATAATAATACTTAGTGAATCACTGTGAAAAGTAGCTGTGATTGCTATTTTTTAACTCCACTTCATCAAAATCATCTTATCATAAATATTAGATTTAGCCGCGTTATTACTAATGGAGTTTTTCTTTTCAATAAGATATTTGTGAAGTAAATTACACGCGCCCAAAGATAATATGATAAGAAACTTGAACAAAAATTATAGAAATAATTGCAGTGCTCGAAAGGAAAATATCACTTCACGGGTTTACGATTAAATTTTATCATATTATAATTATAAACTAATCAATAATTGTTTATCAATGAATATTATTATTTTTTACTTGTACTATCAATAAATATATAAATATTATTATTAAAAATAATATTACGTTATCGAAGATCAGTCGTAAGGTACGAAGTGCTTTTAATAATGAGTTGCACGTATTAATTCGCTAAGTTCACCTTGTTTCAATGTTGTTACGTACTTACATTAAACAGCACGCACATCGTTTTTTATTACAATTAAAAATTATATAATTTAATAACCACGTTACTACCCGCGACCTGATCAAAAAACGTTTAATTAATCATTCTATGTTCCTTGCCCGCCGTGCTCATAATACAATTGCCTACAATCCCAACTAAAATTACTGATAGGTACCCGACAACGATGAAATATGTGTTATCAATAGTGACAAGGCCTATACAGCATAATGGTAACATTGATTGCAACTTGTACGTTAAAGATATTTACTTAAAGTTAAAACGAACGAAATTTGTTCAACAATCGTTTAAAAACCGGCATTAATTATAAAAGTAAAATTTTTCTAAGTTTTCAAACCTATGTTAGAGTAAGTCGGTCAAAATTACTACAAAGAAGTTACTACTTACCGGAAGGCGATCCGTTCAGCTGCAGTGCGTTACCGAAGAAGGGCAAGGATGGTGGTCCGGGTATGTTACGGAAAGCCGAAACAAACTGCAAACGTCTTCGAGCCAACAGGACCAGAAGAGCAACGGCCACGCACACCAAGATGACCGTTCCAATGGTCATTTTATGGCCGTTGTGCGATTTGAAGGCAGGTAACGGTTAAAATATTTAGTAGAGAAAAAAAATTTTTTCTTCTTAGTCAACCTTATCTTAAGGCACACGAATATTTTTTAACTCTGCGTTAAATGCCAGTTTGTGTTTATTGTTGTAATTTGGAGATAATTGTTTACTTTTTTCGAATCACGCGCTATGACATTCGCTGCCCGTGTGGTGCGATCCGGTTTACACGGCGCGCTCTTATATGCCATGTCGGGGCCATCCCCATTACAAACACACACACACATACAGACGCATATACATATTCATACACTCCACGTAACGGCGGACCAATAAACCGACCAACTCACGGCCGTCGAATTGGTGTAGTCTCCGCGGCCGACGTCAACCGCCATACACACGAGCCACTTTAAACGACGTTGTTTTCACTGATTTCTGTCAAATCTAATCCAATTTCGCAGTAAATCGGTTCTGACTTTTATGAAAAATAAATTAATACTCATATATGTTCATTGTTCTTTAGAAATAACGATGAAAAAAAAAACCAATTGTATTAGTATTTTAACAAGTTAAAATTAATTATTCAAATGCATACTAGATGTCTCCAACCGTGTGTCATGATATCAATATTTATTGTTTAAAATTACGAAATAACTTTTTAGTATTATTTTTTAATGGATATTGTTTGATGAAAACTCATCAACGATAAATAAGACACATTTTCTTTTAAATTATTTATTGTTAGAAAATAACACGATACATGAGAGTTTTCAGTTATTTAACTATTAATCGAGAAAATTTTTAAACAATTTTAATCATAATGTACGCATGTAAATTAAAAAACACTTTATCAAGTATTATTTAAAAATTAATTAATTATTTTAAATATAATATTTTGTAATATTTTATATTTCAAGAAGTGAGAAGTTTTGAGAACATTTCAAATCTCTTTCGAATATATTGGCTAATTTAAGAAGTTATAGATGTTTTAAAAGGAAAACTTTCCATTAGTTGTGTTAAAAGTTACCGAAACAAATTATACTGCACAACACTTTTTGTTGTCAAACAATAAAATAGTAGATTACAAGTGGAATTTCATCGCTGATTCCGAATCTCGCCTTAAAATTTTCAATTTGATTCTAGTTTTTTAGATAATCATTGATTAGTAAAAATCAGGTAAGTACGTAATTAATTGATCATTAAAATAGAATTTTCTCTTTGAAAAAATCCATTTTAAACTTTAATAGACAATATCTAAGAGGTACTTGAAAAATGTACGATTTATATCTCAAGTTTAAGTCACTACACATGGCCTTTAAAGTTGATTTGACGGTTATTTCACAAAAATCAGAGTTGAACTTTTTTTGCCTAAATCTATAACTATACATTTTTAATGGCTGAAATGAGATTTTATATGGATTTAAAAAATGTAAATTTTATGTTTCTATCAGAACTAGATACTGAAATAAAAAAAATTATTTAATGCATGCACTGTAATTTTAATTTAAAAAAATATTCTTTTTTAGGCTTTAATCGGGATAATAGCCTTGCGCGTTTTATAAGTTTTTATTACTCAACAAAACAGTTGAAAATGTGTTCTCGACTTCTGCGATTGTTTTAGTAGTAACATTTTTATCCTCTAGTAATTAAGTTATTGAAGTACGATTCGCATATTTTTACTAAGAATATTCTTAAATATTATTATTATTATTGGAATATTTAAAAAATTTGATTTTTCTTTACCTAATTTTTAACCTAGGAAAATACAAATAAATAACAAAAAAGACAAATTTTTATTTGATTTTATTTAATAAAAGTAAGTGAATGCCAATTTAGCTGTTGATAAAATCTAATGTATTTGAATTGTTAATAGTGGCAAATACTGAGTAGCCGACATAGAAAGATGACCGGCAGATAACACCACGTGCGTTAAAGGTCTGTACATAATTCATCACAAAGAAATATAGAACTATCCAAAGTTACATTTAGCATATTTGCATGTAGTTAATATTACTTACAGAATTACCACGTAGGAGGCCGAAAAAAATTTAGGTCACCACAACAAAAGATTTGACGACCAAAATATCTATTATTTAATCTAAATTCGCAAGACATTTAATATTTGGGTATCAATCAGACAAATCTCTGTTAACTGAATTGATTTTGCTTGTACATTAGTAACAACAAATAACATTTTGTTTAGTAAATAATATGATGGCTTAATAGCAATTAGTTGTGTCAATTATGATAAATAAAAGTAGTTCTTTGTTAAATATTAGCTGTGACCGCCAAAAAAAATATGGTCCATATATAATGTCAATAATACATGTTCTTTACTATTAGTACAATGGGTTGGACTTTAGCGGCATATCTTAAAATTTTATTTCGATCATCTTAAACACAATTATCGTAATTTAAATGACGTATTAAAGCGCATTGTTAACGATAACCGAAAAAAAAATTGCATAAATGCATTTTTTATTAATGCATTTACAATTGATTTAAATAAGTGACGTCCGCAAAGAATAATACATTGAAATATCGCCATTTATTTAAAATACTCAACTTAAAATAATAATAACAGATTATTTATAATCATATCAAATATGATATTACGTTCTATACTAACAGAATCGTCTTTAGAAACCATGGAACTTAGTACAAAATAATTAGATGCATCTCATAAATTTTTTTTTTTGAAAAAGAACCTTTTTTAGTCATTAACTTAATTTGCGAAACGTTTTAAAGCATAGGAGTATATCTTGCACATCCATAGCGCCGTTATTCTATATATATACAAATTCAGCTTGAACTATTTTAGTCAGTACACTAACTAAAAATGATGCTAATTTCAAAACTCAAAAAATGTCAATTATTAGATTGGTATTCAAAATAAATATCTTTACTATACTCCTAATTACAAAAAAAAATGCTGTTATTATTTATATATATTAAGGGTAAACAGAAAAAACAAGATAAATCAATTCTTTTGAAAATTAAGGTTATGATAACAAAATATTATATTTGTTATAATGCATCTTTTAAATTGCCAAACTAAATATCAATTAATAGCCCTCGAAAGTTATGATAAACTGTAAATTAAAATAGCGTTTTAAATTTAATTAATTAATTTTTCTCTATTAACACCAAATTAACTCGCCTTGTTTTTTTCTATGTACCATTTATATATGATAAATTCATGATCTAGTTTACAAAACAGACAAGTGAATTTCTAAAAATTTAAAGATTAAAATTTTATATTGCCTTAAAGTCTATTCAACATTTTGAAACCGTTTAAAACTATTAAATTTTTTGTATTGATATTTATCAGTTTATATGGACTAAATTTTCTTCTTTAATTCTATATTAATAATTATAAATCAATGTATCTATTTTAGCAATTATTCAAAAGATCAAAAAAAAATTTTAACATTTCAGAGGTGTCTTAAATCGTAGATTTTCATAACTATAGTAAACTACATTTAAACCACAACATTTATTTATTAAAAAGATAACGTAATACTTTCAAAAGTAACTTTTAAAAACATACGAAAAATTTGTATGTGTTTTGCCTAGTTTTGACAAAATTTTGTTAATTAAACATTTATTTCTGTATCTGAAAAATCGAAAGGTGCAAGTCTACTTTAAACAAAAATTATTTTATTATGTTTCTATTGTAAAAGACGCTGTGCATCTATTTATTTTACTTTGTTTTAATTATTTAAATAGTATTTTTTCATATTGCTTAATACTTACCCAGTTTCTGATTAAATACTGACCTAGAACTCATTTAGGATTTACGTTGGAGTTAAAAATGAGAAAATTCAAGATAAAAATAAAATCCGTCCGTCTTATGTTTGACGCATGAGAGGAGGTAGCTTTTGAACGAAGTTTAAATGGATGAAATAAAATACAATTGTAAGATTAACAATACACATATGAATTAAGTATAAAAGTAAATGGATGGGTTTTAAAACTCAATTCTTATAAATTGAGAATTACTTATTTGTAAATAGTAACATTATGTTGAAACGTTACAATTCGAAAATAGATTAGATAATTAATTAAATAATACATATAAATATGATATGTCTATATGTCAAACTCAATATAACATAATAACATTTTAAAACATGTATTATTAAATATGTAGTATAAATTCATCAAGAAATTTCAATAAGTAATAGATTTATATATTTTCAAATGTAGCATTATTTTTTAGTAATAGTACATTACATATATATTTTTAATACATGTACAAAATATTTCTATAATTATATATAAAAATTAATATTAATATTAATATAATAATAATATATATAATATAATAATAATATTAAAATTAATAAAATTGTAACTAAGATATCCCTGTAAAAAACAAATAGATAGTTATAACTAAATGGCTTTTAAGTTATCTATTGTTTTGTTCCATGTATTTATGAATGAGTTCTCTTTCAAAGTGAATTTTTTTAAGTTGAGTTCTTCTCTTTTCCTTTTTGTTCTCACTTCCTGTCTGTCCAATTCTTTTATTTCTTTTATTATTCTTTTTCAAAATTAATATTTTTCTTTAAAATTATTACCATAATACTAGTTACATTGTGAGCTCTTTATATATATATATATATAATATATATATATATAATAATATATTTGTTATAAATATCTATCAGTATTATATTCTTGTGAGGACAATAGTGATTTGGAAATATTTTTAAATTCCCGAGTATTTAAGATATTAATTCTTAAGATCTTTTTCTCATTTAGGATTTATTTCTATTTTGCTGGTCAATCCTAGTAATTTTTTTTCCTCCGTTTCCATTAATTTACTATTTATTATATATATTGTTTCCTACTTCAGCCGTAAAATGTTGTTCCCAACTAATCCTGTAATGATGAAAGACTTTTTACGTTCTTTATTATAATCTTTGTTGTATTGAGTAGACGTTCTTATTGTTTTACTTGGTTAGCTTTATTTATATTCTATTTATTTTCATTATTTGAAACTGAAATTTATATAATAATTACTTGCCAATTAGAAAGCATATTGATTTTGTGATAAAGTGTAAATTTATTTATTTGTTTTTATATTACATAGTGAGATAAAATGTAGTCAGCAATTTTCATTTGACATATGAATTTATTCATAATACGAATGCGTAGACTTATTTTTAAATTTACTATCCATACAAACCTCCCTTAAGATGGTTTGATTCATAAAAGGAAAACATT